GGGTCCAATTTGACGGCACATAACAACAACAACAGCAACATGGGGGAAAACAAGCTTTCAATAATTGCAAAATCATCAGATTTTTTTGCTTTCCAATGTGACCATTTTGAAGGGCAATACCCACTGTGATACATATATTCTGGAATGTGTATTTGAAAAGCTCATACAGTTTACTTGGGAGCCAAACTTTGTCTAAATGTATAAATACACAGCTGTGTAGACACACATGTCCTTCCTTCTCTCTACACAAAATCCAGTATAGTTGGGAAATGATTTACTAGTCATCTAAAACTTCAGTCACTTTCTATTGTCCTGGAAATCAAAATCCAATCTTTATTTTCTTTGGGGATTCTTTTTGGCACTGCTGTGCTAAAATGATGCAGAAACCACCTTAATAGCAAAGTTTCAATTCCTTTCAGTGGGAGGAATCAGAACACCAGAATTGTTCTCCCACCTCTCTTTATGTTCCCAAGATAGCTGAGGACATGAATATGTATAAACCTGCATATATATATGGCTTTGGATTCATCCTTATTTTACCTGAATTGACTTCCAGCATCTTAATTGATATTCCCTCTGGGTTCACAGAAAACTCCTTGACGGGACTCTTTGTGGTTTTCTTCATCTAGATACTTAGAGCTTTTCTTTTTCTTTTTTTCCCCACCTTTTATTTAAGTCTTAAATTCTGCATAGTCTTTACCAGTTACTTTCAATTTTCACTCCTTTGTTGGGTCTGTTCCGCTTTCATGTCCCTGACCCTTCAATAAACACCATTCTTTGTAATCTCAATTTCAAAGTTTCACTCAGACTTTCTGATCTAAGCTCCCTTTTCAGAAGCTGATATGTTTGAAATACAATCACAACAGTGTTCCAGTTGATGCTGTTTCTCCCCCCCGCCCCCCTTACAGGTACAATTTTTGGGAGCTCTGGTGGTGTAGAGCCTGAGACATTTGACTGCTAATGAGAAGGCTGACGGTTCAAACCCACCAGCTGCTCCTTGGAAGGGATATCAGGCAATCTACTTCCGTAGTGATACTGCCTTGGAAACCCAAGGAAGAGTCGCTGTGCGCCGGATCCGACTCCATGGCAGTGAGTTTGGTTTGGTTTTTACATACACAATTTAGTGATGTTGATTGCATTCTCTGAGTTGTGCAACCGTTCTCATGCTCCTTTTCTGAGTTCTTCCTCCCTCATTAACAAACTCACTGCCTCCTAAGGGACCAATCTGATCTTCTGATTGCTGCTATCAGTTGATCCTCTCTGTCGACGTGGTTGCTGGGTGCCGTTGAGTCCTCTCCAGCTCATGTGCCCCTATGTGCTGCAGACGAAACACTGCCTGCTCCTGTGCCATCCTCACCACCTTCGCTGTTCTTGAGCCCATTATTGCAGCTGCTGCATCGACCCATCTTGTTGAAAGTCTTTCTCTTCTTTGTTGGCCATCCACTTTACCAAGCGTGAGATCCTTCTCTGGACTCTCCTGACAATATCATCCTCAAGGCAGACCTTTTTTTACTAGTTAAACTAAACTACTGTTTGGTATTAAGATGACTTCAGGGAGGCAAACTTGGATATATGGGTGGACAGATGGGTGGACAGGCTGAACTATTAGGTATGTCTATGCAGGGGGCAGTGTGTCCAAGACCATGTACAGGGTTGGCAGACAATGTTTCTACATGTGTATTGGTATGTTCTGTAAGAATTCCCAGGTATATGGTAGATTTGACAAGGGACAAGGTTGTAGTCACTTCTTGGCCACAGTCACCTACCCAGAGGGAGTGAGTAGTTGGACCTGTGGGCTCGAGACCATGGTCTCAGGGGACATCAAGCTCAACTGGCATAACATACTACCCAAAACATTGTTCCACATCCTACTTTGGCAAGTAGGGACTGGGATCTTAAAAGCTTGCAAGCAGCCATCTAGATGCAACAATGGGTCTCTCCTCATCCAGAGCAAAGAAGAATGAAGAAAACCAAAGATGCATGGAAATAGTCCAAGGGACTGGTACACCATGCAATCCTTAGCCTATATGACTATGAGACCAGAAGAACTAGATGGTTCCCAGCTACCACTGTCAACTACTCAGAGGGGTATCTATGTAGGAGATCCTGAATAGAGAAGGAGAACAATGTGGAACAAAACTCAAAACTATTAAAAATGAAAGAAAAAAGAGGGACCTGGTTTGCTGGTCTGATAAAGCCTGGTGGAACCCCTGAGACTATGGCCCCTAGCTGCCTTTCAGGTCTGGAATTGAATCCACTCCTGTGGCTTCCAACCAAACAAAAGACAGGCATATAAGGTGAACATTTACATTAGGTAGATACACCCCTTGGAGAGATCAATCATGGGAGAATAGAAAGGCTGTGTATGCACAGGAAGACAGCTCTGGGGTCAGGAGGGCATGGGAGGGAAGGACACAGGGGAGAGGTAACTGTGGGAAGGAAGTAGGAGGGGAGGTGTTGCATTGTGGGAAATTGTAGTCAATGTCATGAGACAAAGTGTATGTGAGCTGCTGTATGGAAAGTGATTTTGCTCTGTAAACTTTCACCCACATCACAATAAAAATTAAAAAAAAGTATCAATATTGGTTCACCAGTTATAACAAATGTACTTCTACCAATGCAAGATGCTAATAATAAGGGAAACTGTGTGGGGAAGAGGGGCTGTATGAGAACCGTTTGTACTTTCTGCATTATTGTTCAGTAAACCTAAAAGTGCTCTAAAAAATAAAGTCTACTGAGGGGAAGAAAAAAAAGAAAGATGACTCCAGGTTTTTTTTGTTGTTGTTGTTTAAGGTTTAAAGATTATCTCAAAGCAATCCTCTATGGCTCCAGAAAGTCTATAGACCACGAGAATTTAAAATTCTGTTCTGCATTTTCCCCCTTTTGATGAAAATTCTTCTATTGACTATGTGACCAAAATATTTAGTAATGGTAGCCAGGCACCATCCAGTTCTTCTGGTCTTATGGCAAAGGAGGCAATTGTTCATGGAGGCGATTAACCACACATTCCATATCTTCCTATTCCTGATGCTCCTTCTTCCTCTGTTGCTCCAGGTGAATAGAGACGAATTGTGCCTTGGAGGGCCACTTGCAAGTTTTTTAAGACCC